GAATTTCGAAGGAAGTTAAAGAAGGACATGTAGAGTCGATTCTGGTCAACTTCTTCAAGAAATATGAATAAGACATTAAGGGAAGCATGGGGTATACTTGGATGTTTTATTGAAAACCAGGAAAGGAAAAATGTCTAATATTAGCCAAAGAAATTTCTAGAAGGTATAAAGGTGAAAGACTTGAAGATTTGTATAGAAGATCTGTAGCTGTCATATTATTGTAAAGAAGATCTGTAGATTTTATCTTGTGAGAAACCTATAGATCATTTAAAAGACAACATGCATTCGTTATAAAAAATGGTGTCTTACAGAAGATTCCAAGGTCTTAAAGAATGCTTGGAGGTTTTTAGAAGATCTAAAGGGTTTATTTAGGCTTAGAGAAAACAATGGAGGCTAAGAGTTGTTTTAGAGTACCAGTAGACTTTAAGAAGACCTGGAAGTCTTTCTGAACACCCTGTAAACACTTACAGGGTTCCTACAGATAATTCGATGGTTCTAAAGAAGGCTTGGAGTTTTCAAGAAGATCTGATGATTATATTGAGGACTTGGAGATCATAAGGAGTTCAGTAGATTTTAAGAAGACATGGAAGTCTTACTAAAGACTCACACATCTGTTACAGAAGATTCAAAGGTAAAAAATGATTGGAGGTTTTAAGATAACTTGAAGATTGAAGACTTAGATACCATAATGAAGGCCTAGAGTTGTTATAGAAGACTAGTAGATGTCAAAAAGACATGGAAGTCTTACCAAAGATCTTGAGATCTTATGGAAAACCTAAAGAAGTGTATAACATAGAAAAGATCTCATCGAAAACATATAGATCACATAAAATACTTGTATGTAGGTTTTATAGGAGCTCTGGACGTTTTAAAAACTTGGATGTCTTACAGAAGACTTGGTTGTTTTAAGAACAGTTGGAGATTTTATTAAGGCCACGGGGATCTTATTGATGGTCTAAAGATAATTCAAGATATTGTTAAAGATCTGAAGGTCTTTAGAAGGCCAATGTTTGTAGAATTGCATATATTACAAAAGGCTTAGAGATCTTATTGATGACCTGTAAATCCATGGGAGTCCCTAAATGTTATAGGAGACCATTTTGCCCTTCAGAAGACATGATCAATTCTATGGAAATTCAAAGGTGTCATAGAAAGTTCTGATATGATATGAGATCCTATAGAAAAGCATAAGGGGACAGATGGGATGGTGTACAATGATTTGCTTATATATATTCAAGTTTTCAAATATATATGATTTATCATCCCGTCATTTGCGTTTTTTTTTTACTTTTAAAAGTTCATTGCTAGAATTTTTTTTTTAAAAAGTTCAAACTAGTCAAAAAATTCAATCTATTTCAATTTCCTGGAATATAAAACGCTCTATATGTGTCACTATATCCTCACTATTTCTAAATATTTAAGGAATGTGTACTCCGTCCGTCCATTGACATTCGATATTTATTTTAATTGTTTTCAAATGACCCCACATCTTTCAGTATTTAAAATTTTCCTTGAACGGAAATTCATATTCAGGTCATGGAAAAATATCAGCCTATTGAATAAACTCACACCCCCAACAGAAAAAAAAACAAGTGAATCAAGTACTCAATAGAGAAAGATATATACTACATATTATATTTTTAAGAACAAACAAAAAATAGTTAAAAATAATATTTGACCCATATTGTTATAGTTTTTTATTTTTTGTGTTTGTGTAGGTTTTTTATTTTAAAACACGAACGTTTTCATTTCAATGAATCAACGATTGCCGCAGCAAATTAAATTACTAAAACAAATAAACAAAACAAAAAAAAACAACAAAAACAAATACAAATTGTTAACAATGAAAACGAAGAAGAAAACAAAAAAACTAACAAAAGAATACAATTAAATTATTAAGTTGATATAACAATGGTAGACAAAACAACTATAGAAACTCTATATTTGGAATAAAAATTTAAACAAATGGATAGCACTAAAATTATTTTTTATTGTTGTATAAATTATATATTAATAGTTTTGTCGGCTTATTAATAATAAATATATAATGTGTGTTTGTAGCTTCTACATATTTTTTCGTAATTAAATACATTTATTATGAATGACTAATTAAAAGGAAATTTTGTTAATAAGGAACAAATCAAGTGATATATGCTGAATGTGAAGGAATTACACTACTCCATACGTACTTTACATCTTTTTAATCATCCAAATTAAATTATAACAACCAAGAACTTTTTAATAAGCTAATTGACTAAAAAAAAACTTCCTCGATTGGGTTTTTAAGGACATTGGAAATAAATTGTTGAATACTTTATGAACAGGATGAGGAGAATATTAATGTGTCATGAATTAATAAAGGCCTATAAAATATAAATAATAAAATAGGTCCATAAAATATTCAACAGATCATTGAGGTCAGCGTACCTTTTTTAAATGCTAAGAAGGGATTTTTATACACTTTGGAAGTCAAAGGTTTTTATGAACATTGAAATAGGGGATGTCCTTCAGAATATAAAACGATTTTATAAATCCCTGAAGAGTCTACTAGAGGTTACTCGACTGAGTCCCTAAGTACGTGGGAAGAAAATGCTTGAAGACTTTAGGAAGAGGGAATATGAATGTGACAAGGGATCCCATATAAAAAAGTTCTTAAAAATATTTAATTGATTTTTGAAAAGGTCAAGTGGGCCTTTGGAATGCCAAGTAGCCCTAAGAGGACCAGAGAATATTATAAAAGTGTTGAAGAGATTTAAAGTCGGAAAACAGTTTTTTTTTAATTCTTCTTATAGAAGTATACAAATTTTAAAATGGATCGAATGATCGCTTGTAGAACTCAAGAAGAACTTAGAGAATATCAGAAAGTCTTGTAGAAAACCAGAAGATCTTATAGAACACCATAGGGTTTTTATGGAGAACGTATGGAAGATTAGAAAATCTTGTATAAAAACAGATGACCCGAAGTTCTTAGGGAAACGGAGCATCAGAAATAATGTCCGAGGAAGACCAGATTGTCTTATATATGGATGCCATGTAGAAGTTCTAGATGTCTTATAGAAGACTAGGTGATTTTAAGAAGACTTGAGGCCTTAACCTCATTTTAATTAGACCTGTGGGCTTTGAGGTTTTAAGAAGACCTATTTTTTTGAGGACTTTGAGATCGTAATAAAGGCCTGGGGATATAATTGAGAACATGTAGGAGACCTGGAGGTCATGTAGAATGCCCAGGTATTATAGAAGGTTAGAAGATGTTAACAAGTAGTGGAGGCCTTACTAGAACCCTAGAGAAACATATATATCTTTTAGAAGATTATTGAATACCTGAATATCTTTTTGAAAACCTATAGGTCATATATATCTTATAGAAGATATTTATGTCGTACAGAAGACTTATAATGTTGGATAAGACCTATGGGTCTTAAAGAATATTTGAATAACATTGGAAGACACAAAGGTGTTATTGATATATAAGACTCGTATATCTGATTGAATAACCGGGCGCTTTATAGAATATGGGGTTTTATAGAAGACCCTGGGGATTTAACAAAACCTGAAGGTCTTAAAGAAGACGTAGAGGTTTTAAATAATTCATGGATGAATTATGAAGATTTGAGGTTTTTTTTCGGGCCTGAAGATCATATTGAAAGCCCAATGATAAAATTGGCTCTATATAATATCGTATTATAGGCGACCATGCGATTTAAGAAGATCTGGATATCGTATAGAAAACCTATAGAAGACTTGTAGATCTTATAGAAAATCTGTAGGTCTTAGGACATATTTCCACCTGAATATGTTATTGAAAACCTATAGACCATACAAGGCCTGTAGATCCTATAAGGGAGTTTTAAGAAGATCTGGAGATATTATAGAAAATTTTAATGGTTAAAGATCTGAATATCAATGGGTGTCCAAAAATCCTGTATGATAATAGGATGTCTGACAGAAGACCTGGCCTATTTTATAGAAGTGCAAAGGTTTTATATAAGTTCGATAAAAGAACAAAATTATATGCGTGGTCCAAAAAGTCCTTTAAAAATTTTAAGTTCCTATAGAAAACATGTATCTCTTATTGCATAGATACCTTATATAAGGCGTTCATATATTATAACAGAAAAACTGGAGGTCTGTTGGAGCTCAAATATCTTAAATCAGATCAGGAATTTGGTAAAATGTCTGGATTTCTATCAGACACTCTTTTATCCTACAAGACCTTTGGAATCACATAGATCTTCAGGTATTAAAACCTCTTAAAAATGATTTCATCCAGAGAAAGAAAATAATAGAAAATAGTAGTAGGTCTTAGGTAGGACCAACAAGTTTATAGAAGAACAATAAGTATAGACAATTAAAAAGACCTATAATCGAACCTGAGATCTATACTGAGGACCGAAATTATTCCGTATATTTTATTGGTTGTGGTATTGAGTATGAAATTATTGGATCGCTTAATTATATTTCATTTTTCAAACCTTCTAACATGTTTTAGCAAATTTTTTCCAAAACCCCGAACCACCCTAATACACAAAATATCCTTTAACCCGAATTTCCTTATTTAACTCATGAATTATTAATAAAACTATGACAATAAAAATATAAGTAGTTTCCAATAAAATATTCTACCATTACCAACAATCAATGAGGGTATTTAAAAAAAACTAAATAATTATATCAAAAACTGTTACAAAAAAACTAAAGGAAATAGTTCAACAAGAAAAAAAACTAAGTCATAAAAATTATAATGATTAGGTTATTAGCTTAATGAATTATTAAATAGTTAATTATCTGGTTGATATTTTTTACTTTGAATAATTCCTAAAGAAAGGTTAACAAAATGCGCATGAACCAACTAAATAAAATGTATCTCAAAATAAATTCAAATCCAAATATACCATACCAAATATAAATACTAATGTTTTTTTTATTTTAAAATGTAAGTGAAAAATATAACAACGACAACAACAAAGAAAATCAAAATAATTTTAATTTTTGGAACTTACCACCAGTGCTGCCATCATGTAACATTATCCGTGAATTGGTAAAGAATGGCCTCAACGAGGGTTTGGGTGTTGAGCCTATCGACAGACTGTCAATATCTGGCCCTGAATCATCACCCTCACAGCATGACAACGATTCGAGCTCTTGAAATAATGCATCCAAATCACGTTCACCACGTAGAGCAGCTGTGCTGCGATTAACTTCACCTTCCAGCTCTTCGGATGCCTTGAAACGTTTGAGTAGGGCAAAGATTTTTTGCTTAAAATTACGCTGTTGCAGGGAAATTGTCTGTAATTAGAGAGAGAGAGAAGGAGGGTGTTAAATAGAAAAAAAGAACATGTAGTTAATGTTGGTAGTGTAAGGCATTGGTAATGAAGACATTTGATGACGATGGTGATGATGAATGATTGATAGAACAAACATTTACACATCTAGAAGTGAGTGATGTGATTGAAATTTTAAATTTGTTTCTTTGGTTTTGGGGGTTTAAGACTGATTGATGGGGAAATAAAAATTACATAATATTTTGCTATGTTGTAATTTTGTATTCGAAATTGTTTTCTTACACACTTTAAAATTGTGAAGTCTTATACGATGCACTAAAATAAAAATCTTGGGATCTCTGAAATATTGCTATTCTATGTATTGAATAGGGAATGAAATCATGTATATTAACGTGTATATTAAACATGTATATTAAAATGACTCATGTGTATAAAAAAGCATTTGAGCTTATTAATTCCGATAGTCATTTAATACGTTGGCTCTTATATACAGGATAGTCCTCAAAAACCCCAACTTACATCTCTGATAACCAAAATCTCAGATTATAAACCTGATAGACTCAAAAATAATATACAAAGTTTTCAAACACATACGCTGTAATTATCCTTTATTATAGGGAGGTCTTATAGAAAACCATTAGGCCTTATAGAATACCAGAGAGTCTTATAGAAGACCAGAAGGTCTTATAGAAGAACAGAAGGTCTTATAGACGACCAGAAGGTCTTATAGAAGACCAGAAGGTCTTATAGAAGACCAGAAGGTCTTATAGAAGACCAGAAGGTCTTATAGAAGACCAGAAGGTCTTATAGAAGACCAGAAGGTCTTATAGAAGACCAGAAGGTCTTATAGAAGACCAGAAGTTCTTATAGAAGACCACAAGGTCATATAGAAGACCACAAGGTCTTATAGAAGACCACAAGGTCTTATAGAAGACCACAAGGTCTTATAGAAGACCACAAGGTCTTATAGAAGACCACAAGGTCTTATAGAAGACCACAAGGTCTTATAGAAGACCACAAGGTCTTATAGAAGACCACAAGGTCTTATAGAAGACCACAAGGTCTTATAGAAGACCACAAGGTCTTATAGAAGACCACAAGGTCTTATAGAAGACCACAAGGTCTTATAGAAGACCACAAGGTCTTATAGAAAACCAGAAGGTCTTATAGAAGACCAGAAGGTCTTATAGAAGACCAGAAGGTCTTATATAAGACCAGAAGGTCTTATAGAAGACCAGAAGGACTTATAGAAGACCAGAAGGTCTTATAGAAGATCAGAAGGTCTTATAGAAGACCAGAAGTTCTTATAGAAGACCACAAGATCATATAGAAGACCACAAGGTCTTATAGAAGACCACAAGGTCTTATAGAAGACCACAAGGTCTTATAGAAGACCAGAAGGTCTTATAGAAGACCTGAAGGTCTTATAAAAGACCAGAAGGTCGTATAGAAGACTAGAAGGTCTTATAGAAAACCAGAAGGTCTTATAGAAGACCAGAAGATCTTATAGAAGACCAGAAAGTCTTATAGAAGACCAGAAAGTCTTATAGAAGACCAGAAGGTCTTATAGAAGACCAGAAGGTCTTATAGAAGACCAGAAGTTCTTATAGAAGACCAGAAGGTCTGATAGAAGACCAGAAGGTCTTATAGAAGACCAGAAGGACTTATAGAAGACCAGAAGGTCTTATAGAAGATCAGAAGGTCTTATAGAAGACCAGAAGATCTTATAGAAGACCAGAAGGTCTTATAGAAGACCAGAAGGTCTTATAGAAGACCAGAAGGTCTTATAGAAGACCAGAAGGTCTTATAGAAGACCAGAAGGTCTTATAGAAGACCAGAAGGTCTTATAGAAGACCAGAAGGTCTTATAGAAGACCAGAAGATCTTATAGAAGACCAGGATGTCTTGTGGAAGTCCTGGGTGTTTTGTGAGCATTTTTATATGGTCTAGTATTCTTTAAATATTTTTTTGTAATTGTACGATGTGAAAATTTTCACAATATAGTTTATTGAAATCACATAGGAATAAACTCTGAAAAAAATCTACTCTGATATTCCTTTATATGATGGTCCTTAAAAAAATATTATTTTAAAAATCTACGCACTTATGGCCTTTAAAAAAAAATTCCTTAACATTTTTTTAATCCATACTCTGATAGTCCGTTTTGAAATAAATATACACTGTACTGTTAGACTTTTAATTTTTTTTATAAAAATCCACATATTGGTATTGATAAAACTTCAAAAATTATACTGCACGCTATTATAGACTTATAAAAACAAGTGTTCTTTAAAATTTTACGATCTAATATTTCCTTAAAAATATAATTAAAAATCAACATTCTATATTCTTAAAATAAAACATGATTAACAAATCGACCTTCCTTTAAAAATAATCTTCAAACAAATTTGCGATTTTGTATTCCCTCGATATTGCTGTCTTTAAAAAATGCACTCTGAAGGTCCTTTTTAAATATATTCTGCATATAAATTCATAAAAAAAAATCACAGTTCTGGTAGTCAGAGCAGTTTTTCAATATGTATATAAACTCAGATAATCTTACAAAAATATTTAAAAGTTCTTTCATCTGTAGAACATTCTCTAATCTCCAAATTACATTTTTTTTTTGTAAAACAGTAACAGAAGTAATTCCATTTCCCCTACTTTCCCCGAATCACTTAATAACAGTGATATTAAAAAATAACAATAAATCATCATAACCTAATTTTTGATTTTTCTCTCCCAAAGCAAATAGCCCCATAAGCATGATTCAGAATTTATGCATTCTGTTAATAGTCACAACAACTAGCACACAAAAAATATATTTATCACAGAATTCAAAAATGTTGAACTAGTTTTTTTTTTCATACAAAAGACTTTCATCTACATTCTCCATTGGATGCCAAACGACTATTTATAGTTATCACTTTTTTGTTTAAATTCCTTTCCCCCAAGCAAAACATTTAAACTATAATTAAAAATAATAACAACAATAATTTCCATATGTATGTATGTGATGCTGTGTTATAAATCAAAAGAAATGTTGGTGTTTTTTTTCAACATTGTTGTCGTTGACATTTTGACATGAGACACACGGCATGTGTGTGTGTCCAAGCGTGTGTGTTGTCGGTGCAACAGAAAGAGGCAAATAATCCATCCACATACTATAAAAATAATATATTGTTGATATTTTTAGTATTTTATTATAATTGGTTTTGTTGCTGTTGGTTTTTTTTCTTTAATTTGTATATTTGAAAAACATGTCGAAGACATTAAAAACAACATCACATGCACGAAATAGTTTTCGTTTCGTCTTATTTTTAAAAGCTAATGAACTTGCATCAAGAAAAAAGAGCAAATAAACCCAACCTATATACATTTATGTAAATTGGCAGAATGTGAGACGGGCACATATTTTTTCATCATCTGTTGAGATTTTGGTATTTTTCGTAAACATTTTTGAAAACAAATTAAAAAAAAAAAAAAACATTGTTCGGGGAAGATGTAGTTGTAGTTGTAGAAGGCATATCATGCCTATATACGGGATTTTTTTTTTTGTTGTTGGAATACCATGGCAATAATCGTGAATTTTATTGAATGGCATGTACTTCAAAACAATTGTTTTATTGAAGGGCTATCAGGACTATAAGCGTAGTTTTTTTAACACTAGATTGCCGAAGGCGGTCATTTTGACCGTTTTTCAATTTCAAGTACAAAAACAACTGTGCATATAATGGCACTATTTTAAAATTTGGTGACTTTTTTACCACATAGAAATACGTTTATTATAAAAAAAGTCGACTTTAAAATCATTTATTAATAGCCTTTAAAAAATATTATTAAAAGAATCCACAAACCCCTTAAAATATTCTTAAACCAGTGATCGGAGCAGTATAGTCGGACGGGGCCGACCATATGATACCCTACACAACTACCACGAAACTCTAACTTTCTGCGGTTCTTTATTCTAAAACTGGGCAATATTTCGTGATATTTGCACCCCCTTTGATCGATTATAGGTCAACAGCTCCACTTTCTAAAGTGAAACAACCGTATTTGGTCACATACCCTTCACCTTGTAAAATATACGTTCTGCATCTATAGCGACTAGAAAATCTGACAAAATTAAAGTTTTCCGTTCATTGCACCCCCTGAATGAAATCTCAACTTCACCGAAAACTATAGGCGTCGTCCTTGACCATAATCGGAACTTCCTTTACAATTTCAAAGCGATCAGCGCGAAATTTCCGTCCTCTAAGGGAGTAATAGTAATACTATGCACACATTTACCTTATTATGTATAACTCCCATATCTGAGCACATCCGACAATATAATTGGTATCAATTTAAAGGTCGACCACTCCTCTGGGATATCAACTTCTCGGGTCTATGTCCTTCAGGAGTAAATATATACGCTATAGAATACAAATTTTGTCATTTCTCACACAAAAGTTGACCGATCTTTATCAAAACAGGCATGCTTATTCTTTGGCCCGATCGCCTTCTCCATGCACTTATGGTCCGGACTTATGGTCCGGTTTTCGGACCATAAGTGCGGCCTCTGGAGCGACCAGAAAAACCGACAAAAATTAAGTATTTGGTCCATTTCATCCCCTAAATATTAACCGATCTTTACCAATCCTACATTCAAAATTTCGTGAAGATTGGTCCATAACTGTGGCCTGTATCGCGTGGACAGACGGACGGACACACATGTCTAGATCGACTCAGCTAGTCGAGATATGATCGGTATACTTAAAGGTGGGTCTAGGACCAATATTTCGCGGCGTTACAATCTCTTGGGGCTGCACAAAGCTATAATACCCTGACAACATAGTTGTGTAGGGTATAATTATTATTTAACAAAAATATACGCCTTAAGCTCTAAGGGTGTGGCAAAATATTTTTAAAAAATCCTCGCCCTGCATTCACAAAAAAAAGTTGTTAAAAAACTCCACTCTCATAGTCCTCCAAAAAGATTGAACCTCTTGAATTCAGCCTTCCTTCAAAAAATATATTTTAAAAATATTCAACCTCAAATAGTACTTCAAAAAATTAAAAAAATAATTCCTCTGAATAAATATTATTTTATAAATACACGCTTAAATAATCTCAGAAAAATATTCATTAACAAAAACACAACTTCTGATAGCCAAAAAATATTATTTAAAACCCCGAACCATAGATAGTCATTAAAAATATGTTTTTTAACTTCCATTTTCTGAAAGACATTCAAAAAATTTATGTTTAAAACTCCTCCAAAAATTCCACGTTTCATAGCTCTTCAAAAATATTTATAAAAAATGTCCTATAAAACTTGTGTGTTAAATTAGAATTAATAGTTTCTAAAAAAATATTTAAACCTAAACGCTGATAGTCATTTCGAAAATTGTATTCTTTGGAAAAACAAACTCTGATAGTCTTTCAAATAATATTTTTTTTAGTCATTTTCGTAAAAAACCAACCTCTGATAGCCTTTTAAATTTGTTTGTTTTAATTTATACTTTGGAAAAATATTCAAAAACAAATTCTGATAGTCAATTTTCTTCAAAAAAAAAATTATTATATAAGTTTTCCTTTATTTTTCCTTTTAAATTCTCGACTGTGACTCTATCGTTCCTTCAAAAATATTCTTTAAAAAACAGCCTCAGATAGTCCTTCAAAAAGTTTTTCCCAAAAAAAAAAAAATGATCCTTAAAAACCCAGCTTATAACTCTGGTAGTATTTGAAAAATATTTCTTTGAAATAATGACTTATAGTTCCTTTTTTAAATGAAAAATATGGATAACTTTAAATATTTTTCTTTTGATTTCTTCATTTAATTTGTTTACACCTTATATTAAGTCATTCATACAGATATAATTTATTCAAAAAAATCAGTTGGAAATACACAAACAAATCTTAAATATGAATAAATTAAATATGCAATTTTGTAAAGTTATCAAGTTATCACCACTCACATATTTCCTCAAATGCATATTCATTCATTCAGTTTGGTATTTGAAGTGATTATTATCACAACTTAATAGCATTTAAATTGGCATAATCGTTTTAACACCTGTTTTATAATCGCTCATGTTGTTCTGACATACCTACGTACAGACAGAACGCCACACATCACATGTGCTCTTTCAATTGGAGGAAAATAACTGCTGCTTACCTCCCCCCACATTTGCAAAAAAATTGTTTTCATTCTTGTTGCTTTTCTAAACAACGTCATTCACTCAGTCAGTCACACGTGAATACGTATATATGTATGAATGTTCTTCTGTGTGTGCAAACATTTTTATGTGTGGCCTGTATTTAATGTATCTAATTTAATACAGACAAAAACTATACAACTGGGTATTGTAAAAAATTATAACCTAAATTTCCTCAATTAATTTTAAATGAAATATATCTACGAACACGCACTTTATGATATGAGTTTGTCTAACGGGGGGATAGGAGGGGTAGCCGAAAAATGTAACGCATTGCCTTAACAGCCTGGCCCCCAACATCATAACTGCCAGCAAACCTGCCAGATATGCTATTTATGTCCTCCCATTTCAAAATATATCCGCATGAGTGTGTGTGTGCGTTTGTGAATGTTTGCGGATGTAGGTGCTAATTTACTACAGAGGGACGATGATACACCTTGACTACATGCGCGCTTCTAGTATTTTATTGATTCATTCATGTGTGTAGAACGACGTATGAAGGCAATTATAATAGGTGTGTTTTTTCCATAAAATTAAATTTGTTAAATGAATAAATAATAAATAGAGAGCATTGAAGATATAATTATAGCTGATATTAAAAATTAATGAGAAATGTCCTGGTAGTCCTTCAAAAATAAAAAAACACCCTGAAACTTTAATGTTATACTTTCTTTGCACCAATTTGCCTGGTGGGAACAACAATAAGTTTGGCCTAGGCAACCCTCGTATAAGAGTGAATTGTTAAGAAATATTTTAAAGAGAACTATAATCATGGTTGCAATAACCCTAGATTTTTATAGAAAATACCTTAGACCTACGATTCGGCTCATAATCATTGGCATTATTTGAGAAAAAATGTTAGCCTTCCATCACAGCCCTTTCCTATGTATTTTACACCAAATTCCAAACATTTTCCCCACTATATGAACAGTCCTCTAAATGTTTTTTTTATATTTGTATATATATAAACGTGCATTCCAACTTACCCTGCTAATTTTTGCACGCGACGAACTTTTATCCTTCATTTCGAATTCACTATCACTGTCGACGGGATTGTTGGGGCCACCCAAGGCCACAACATCTTCCACTTCGGAACGCTGTAGCTTACGATATTTACGCATATCGTGTTTGGAAGGATTGTAATCACGTTTTGGATCATAGCCGGGTATGCCGAGATCATCATTAAATTCACCCGAACTAAATTCACCTTCTTCATCTTCGTCGGAGTATTCAGCGACGCGATCTATAGAAAAGATTAAAAAAAAAATAATAATTAGTACCATAGAAAATAAATAATAAAAAATTACAAATAAATAATACATTTCTAAAATAGACAACGGCAAGCAATTAAAAATTCTCAATGACCACAAAATATGGGTTAATTCAAGTTAAACTCTGTACTGAGAAAGCCTTGATTGGTGGTTTCTTTTTATTTGCATTGCTAGAGAGATAGTGACTACAGAATTGTGGTAAATATTATTGTAATAAAAGTTTTTTTTTTTTAATATAAAAATATAATTATTTTTTTATAGATATGACACACAAAGAGTTCTTGAAGAGACAAAGACGTTGAAAAATAAATATAAAGAAATATGTATGTATATATAAAAATATATACATTTAATTAAATTATATATCAATGCTATTTCTGCAAAAGTGAATGTTGATAATGCGACTGCACCCCAAAAAGTGGGAAAACTATAAATAAAACATTCCTTCATATATAGCATTCAGTTGGAGATTAAACAAATGCTGGCGTGAAATCAAAATTAGCACACATTTTTTGGGGGAGGGTCACATATCACGTTATCAAGGGGGAAAAATATTAGCAGAAATGCTATAGGACTTTATTAACATTCAGGTGACAATTTTTAAAAATGCATGATGTTAGGTGACTTATTTGTTATAATATGCTGGTAGGGGAAAAAGAAATCTATTATTTTTATGTGAACTATAGGACTTTATTAAACATGCTTCGGAATGTCCGATTTGGGCTAAATATGCACCGTTTTGTATGTTTTTTTTTACTATTTTAAAGGTAACTTCATAATGCCTCCCTCATAGAAGTACTGCTCATTATTTGCGGATGTATTAAAACTTCTTAACAAAGCCTGTCCTGGTGGATTTGGTAACATTTTGTTGGTGAAATGGTCCAAAAACTTAAATTTTGCGCATTTTTCTGGTCGTTCAAGAGGTCTTTATTATGAACCGAACATCACGAACAATTTTACAGGAAGAAAGGAATTTCGGCAAGGGATAAGCATGACTGTTTTGATGAAGATCGTTCAATATGTAGCGGGTCAAATTGGTCAAGACTTTTGTATAAAAATAAAGAATATATAATTTTATGGCTAATATATTTATTACAAAAGGACCGGAGAAGTTGACAGTATACCCAAGAGGATTAGATGACCTTTAAATTGATCACTATAAAATTTTACGTGAAGTTCCGGCTATGGTCAAAGACGACATCTATAGTTTTTTTTTTTTTTATTTTGTAATGTATTTATTTTTTATATATTATTATGATACAATCATTTTATGTAAAGCCTCAGCGCCAAGATGGCATTATTGAGGCAGTTGGCAACTTTTTAAAACATTTCAATGTATATTTACAATTAAATAATTCATATTTCAATAGTAATAATCATAATATATATTTAATTTACAACAAAAGTGTTTCCATCAGACTGCACAAGTAGTTTTTACATGCGGGTTTAAATTGTGATAATGTTTGTGAAGATTTTATATATCCAGGCAACTCATTAAATTTCTTTGTCCCTGTATAGTCAATTCTTTGTTTTGTTTTCTCTAATCTACATTTTGATATTCTCAAATTGCTACAATTGCGTGTTTGGATATTATTTTGGTTTTGTTCTAATATAATCGTTTGGTATCCAATATTATTGATATTTTTGAAAACATAAATTAATGTTTGGTAGATGTGTAAACCATGTATTGGAAATATATTTGATGAATAGTTTTTAAACAATGAAGTGGTAGAATATGCATGTGGCAGTTTATAAACCATTTTTAATGCTTTATTTTGCATTCTTTGCAAAGATTTCAATGCTATATTTGATTTATTATAAGCATATATTATTGCCATATAATTCAAATGTGATTGTATTAAGGAATTGAATATCATTAGTTTTGTTGTTTGATTTAATTTACTTTGCATTTTGTACAAAATACCGACTGCAGGTGCTATTTTCTTCTTAAGTTCTTCTATATGCACGTCCCAACATAAATTACTCTGAAGATGTATTCCTAAATACTTTATGGAATTAACTTCACATATACTTTTACCATCCACATATATGCAAAATTTCTCTGCATCTGGTCTTAATGCTTGCGGTCTAAATCTAATAATTTGAGTTTTTTTAGGGTTTAGTAATAAACGGTTTAGTTCTTGGTTGTTATCAGATGTTATTAAGTTGGGACGACGAAATGGACCATATTTTTATTTTGTCTGTTTTTATTATTGCTCTATTCTTATGATCCGAACACCATTAAATTTTGCACGGGAACTGCAATGAATAACATGCCTGTCTGCATTATGATCAGTGTGGAAATTATGTCCACTATAAAAAGACAGGATCTAGAGAAGATATAATATTATTCTGCAAATGCCTTGATTAATGTAGTCGGATAGACTAATATATTTACAGGATCCTATATAGGGTAATATTGTTTAGTATTAGAAGACACGTAAATATGACAATAACAAAGTGTTAGAAGCCAGTAACAAAGAGTTAGTCGGTGTTGCTGACAGATGTATATGTTTTGTCTACGGAATTGCTACACAGGTTTTATTATTCGCTTTATATAAGGAATATGTTTTTATCAAATAGTTGGCCATCTGTGTATAGGATTGGTTACTCTATAGAAATTTATGTTTGAATTTTTGTTGGGGTGTTACCAGAAGACGAGGATCGAATGGGTATCATCTTCAGACATTATCTTGGTTTGGTAAAATTATTACGATTTCCAAAGTTTAGATTCGTCGTTCCATTTTCTTTTTTTCAAAATATTGACACATTGTGGGGAAGCTACCTGCAGGAGGGGACCAATGTGTCCTATCTTCGCACTTTATCTAGCCAAGGTAACACTATGCGCCGATAAGTCCCACTTTCAACAATATCTTCTCCAACCATTCGATCATTTTGAGTGGGACGTAATCGATTCAAATTGTCGGAAGCGGAGTTGATCCAAAGAAACATGGTTAGACTCCATCAAAGTGTATATACCATTACATTACATTAACCACAATGCTGAGGGTATAAAAATGCACTGAATTGAGTTTAAGATCCGCAGAAATTTTAAGTGTAGTGGTAGTTATGCTGGTTATGAAGTCCGAGTATACCTTCATCGCTCATTGGTTTTTTTAATATTTTTCTGATAGTTGTAAAATTATTGTTGAAACTGTGTTTATACCCTCCACCAAAAGGACAACAATATTTTGTCTATGCAGAAAAATTCTGGTTTAGGTACATCTTTGGATATAACCCACATATACAAAGGTCCGACCTTCTTGGTATTTTTAAGGTTATACCCTCATATTCCAACCGAAGTACCTTGATATAGCCTCCTTATATATATAGGTGGCTTACCGTATATTCCGAATTTTGTAGGCATTAGCCGCATTTTCAAATTTAAGTCACATAAAATTGGCATTCTGGCTTCGTGGAATCTGAAAAATGTATATGCTTAATATTCTCGCTGTGGATCCAGATCCATATTTTGACATATCTCAAATGACGATACGACATATTTTTGATATTTTGAGAGTTTAAGCCGCATTTTCCAACAAAAAATAGATGTAAAATGTCCGATATAGTTCAATGTGTTGACATAGCCCCCATATAAATGTCTAGTACCATTTTCGTTATTTTGAGTTTTTTTTTTTTTTTTGCAAACTTTCTTTTGACGAATGAAGGTAAAATTGGGCTTCCGGGTTAATTGAGAGTAAAAATATAAATCTTTGCTAAAGAAGATCAATGTTGGCGGCCCCATTTTTTTGGTATTTGGAAAAGTTTAGTTAATTTCTTTTACCGAAGAGGCTGACATTTGGATTTCGAATTGCTGGTGAATAAAAAAAATCTTCAAAATAATTCCCCATGTTATTAAATTTGTCCCGCTTAATTTTGGCTATGTTAAAAGTGACTGTAATTTTGTATTTAATTGTCACAGATCTGAATAATAGTCCAGATTTAAGGGATTTTGAAGTCACAACACATTATAGAGGATATAAAAAATTTGGCCGGCAAAATCATATGATATATAATTTGTAATTATGACTACTAAAGAATAAACCTTAAAAAATTAAAAAAAAATCTTGAGGATATAGTCGATTTACGATACGCTGGTTGGCAACGAGAGCGTATCTCAACACTTTAATGTGATGTTCTCGATCCAATGTTTTTACGATTGCCGGGTACGATTAGTCAAAAACGATTAATCCAATTGGTTTCAAATGTTCACACGTTTGTCTGGACCTACCTAGCTATCGTACGAACAAGGCAATCGGTGATGGTATTCCTTATTTTCCAGCATGGTTTATGGTAGAAAATTGGCGAAAAAACAGTTTTTTTAAGTCCACAATTTGGCTAATTTTCATACCATAGCCTGGTATGTATTCATTGTAATTGGAATGTTGAATGCTCTGATATCCCAGTGATCGGAAATCATGTCAGACGTCGAAAATAAAAAATTAAAAAATAAAAAAAACACGACATTTTGTCAATTTATTTTCTTTCTTAAGTCTTAAAATACATGTGTCCAAAAATACAAGACTTTAACAGAGTATATGCTCATTTGACAACAGATCGATAATCGTCGACATATTGAATTGAGAATGGGTCCCCTTAACTTTATAGTTTAGATCACTTCATTTATTCGAAGTTTATTAGTGTTCGTAGATATAAAGTTTTCTTAGCAAGGATCGGGTAAACTGGGACGATGGAAACCTTCGAATATAGATTGTTTGTCTTTGGGGACCCCATCTAAAATTTTATTAGCGAACTTTGTGTAGAATATTTGGAGGTCCAAAAATCTCGCCTTGTAGTATTTCGTTCGAGAATTTAACGACATAAAAAGCCGTAGAAGGACACGAAATAGAAAGATGATATAATTTACAAAATATCCCTCCTGGGATTTGACTGCAGACATGACACCTCAAAAATAACCTGCAATAGCCGCAACAAAGATAAAATACACGAATTTGCACTTCTGGGTTCTCAT